CACCGGCACGGTGTGGATGAACTGAGGCAAGAGACCTCTGAAGTTTGCTCTTGGGGAAATGAGGTTTATTGGGGATGCAGGATGGTCCTGCCTCGTGCCGCCAAACGCAGCATGTGTGAGGCTCCAAGAGGTGGAGGAGGGGAGAGACAAAAGGATGCTCTAGGAGAGGGGAAGTTCCAAGAGAGGGGAGGAGATTCCAAGAGAGGGGAGGAGGTTCCAAGAGAGCGTGCGGCCCCTCGAAGCCCCCTTTTCAAGGAGCTTCAAGGTGGGCTGGAACAAGGCTCAGGCCAATGGGGTTACAGGCACTTGATGTTTTAGGGGAGGGACAGAGGTGCAGGGTGAACCGTACATCTTTTGGGGGTGAGATGGAACAGTCCACTGGACCCCAGGACCCATCCATAGGCAGGGGCATTGTCCGGCTAGCTGGGAGAACTGTTCTCATCCTGGCTGTATTATTTATGGATAATCATATTTATCTCTCTTCTGCAACAGGTGGCTGGGTCTCCTTGGGTGTTTCTCCATCCCTTCCCACAGGATGCTCAGATCTGTCTCCCTCCCTGCTGCCTCCAGCCCCATTCCCTGCAAAGTCCCTGCCCTGGGTGGCAAACAGCCTCATCCCGGGACATCCCCAGCCAGGCACAGCCTCGTTGGTGCATCCTGATCAGGGCAGAGGGGAGCAGGGTGAAGCAGCCACGCGCTGGCTCAGGGCTGGCCCAGGGGCAGCGTGTGGGGTCAGGACCCCTCCCGAGCCCCCCCAGAGCTGGTGCTGGGCCCACACCCAAGGGTGATCCTGCAGGAGCTCCACGTGCTGGCAGGGGCTGTACCATGCTGTTGGCAGCCGTGAGTGGCTGGTGGGATTAGGGGCAGGTTGGGGCAGAGGGTGCCCAGTCCCACTGCCATGCCAATGCCCAGCCCCTCTGGCTCATGGGGATGGCTCTCACACCAGTTTTCCCCCATGAGCTGGAAGCATCTCTCCAGGCCCACCACCTGCACACCTTCGTGCACCCCTGGGATGAGCCCCCGCTCCTCCCCTGCAGCTAAAATTAAATATTCAATTTGTATTGCTGGTAAATCCGGCAAATCTCTTTTATCTCTAAGATGTTGTAGCAGGAATATCAGTGGTGTAATCTCCATGGGGGCTCGTCCCGCTGCCCTTCACAGCTCCCTGGCTTGGACCACTCTCCCTTTTCCCCACATTTCTCTCTGGGACGCTTCTGGGTGGTGGACCAGGTCTCCAGTGCCAACAGCAGAGCTCCCCATGGCACCCATTCTGCGGGTGCTGCTGGCTTTGGGGACAAGGATGTGCATGGTCCCCAAATTGTGGTGGAGATGCTCTTGGCCCAGGTGATCCAGGTGGCCCCACCAGAGCATCCCCCATGCCTACGGTGTCCTCACTCACCAGCTGTGCCCCCCCTCCCCGTGCTCTGTCCCCACGCTAAGAGCATTGTGCAGAATTATGTATTTAAATATTTAGGTTTTCATCAGCTTTGCAAATTAAGCCCATCCATTAAAGCAGCAGTTTGGGTCCTCTGCTGGCAAGCTGGGCTGTGCCATGCCTCGGGGCTCGCTGTGCTCATCCCAGCCCTGGCCCCAGGGGATGCAGCCTGGGAATGGGGTGATGGCCTGGAGCATCCCTGCTGCCACAGGGACCGAGGCTCTGCTTCCTCGCTGTTCCTGGAAACTCCAGCCCCAGCGGCCCCATGGCAGGGTGAAGGGAACCGGCTGGGATTGGTGTAATTTGGGGATGGAGTGGAGAGTGCCTGGTGCTGGCAGGGAAAGCAGGATGAGGAGCAACGCTGGTGACAGGTGACAGCCCTGGCTCGGCCGAGCACCTGGCAGGAGCAGAGCAGGGATGGCACTGCCAGCCTGCTGGGGGCTCAGGGAGAGGGAAGCTGGGGATGGAAGGGTCAGCCCGCCCAGGGACGCGGAGGAAATGGGCAGGAGATGGTCAGAGCTGTGACTGCTGCCACGCTCAGCGCTAAGGCTGTGCTGCCCTGAGCTCACCAAAGAGGCTTTGGAGCGATCCCTGGCTTAAGTCATTACACGGCATGGCTGGGGACTAAGTGGCTCTTTAAACCTCGGCAGCCTGGCCTAGCTGGTGGCTCCGTGTGGGTGGGAGGGGAAAATGGGGGTGATGGGGAAATGGGGTTCATCCAGCACCGCGGCCAGCTGGGGCCCCTGGCACAGCCGCAGGGCCCGAGGGGCCTGCCATGGCCCCCAGTGCCCCTGGCACAGGCAGATCTCACTCCTGGGAGATGCTGGTGCCCACTGCCCACCTGGGGCACCACTGGTGGCTGGATGCCCCTAGGAATGTGGGCAGAGCCCCAGGGTGAGCACAGCACAGGGGGATGTGTGTCCCTGCCTGTCCCTTCCCTTCACTGCAGGTGAAGAGCAGGCTGTGGTCTCTCCTCGGTGTCACCTGCATGTCCCCCTTCCCCACCAAGCCTGGAGGCACCAGAGGAGCGCTGGCTGCTGCTGGCCCCAGGCACTGCGGGAAGATGACGAGGTGTCCATGGGAGGGGAGCTGTCCATGGGCATCACCCTGATGGGTGCTCATCCGTGCGCCTCAGTGCCCACAATCCCTGTGCCAGCTGGCATGGGCTGGGGTCCCTGCAGCCCTGCCTGGCCTGGGGGTCCCTCCATGGGGGTCCTACAACTCAGTTGGCTGTGCTCCTGACACTCTGGCAGTGGGGTCACACCTCTGGCAGTCCATGCCCCGTGTCCTGGCTCCTGTGGGCAGGATGAGCACTGCTGTGAGGCCGAGGGGGCTGGAGGTGCCATGGGGCTGCTCGCCCCTGCCAGCCCTGCCTCTGCCTGCACCTACACAGGGGTGCTGCCATGGCACTTTCCCTGTGCCACCTCTTTCCTTCTCAGCCAACCTCCTGGGATCTGGCTGCCAGGCCCAGATGTTCCCCATCCTAAATGGCTTTTGAAGATGTGGCTCTTCCACCAGGACCTGAATTAGGCTTTGCAGGGATGGAGTGCCAGAATCCTTTCTCCACTGCCTTTGCCTTGGCAGCTCCAGGATGCTCCAGCTCCTTTCCACACCCAGCACAGCAGCACGACTCTTGCCCCCAGAGAATCAGGTCTGGGGCCTGGGTGGGTGGTCCTGGGCTGTGTGTGCTGTGCAGGGAGGGGGTTCCTGTTCCCCTGAGGTGGCAGCAGCCAGAGGCAGTGGTGCTGTGGTGGGAAGTCCCAGCGCTGGCGGCCGTGCCGGGATCCCTGGCAGCTGGGCGCGTCGTGGCCGTATTTCCTCGCTCTGCTCCAGGAGTAATTGCTCAGATGGGGACGTGGGGCAACTCCCATCCCTCTCCCGGCATGGTAATGAGTGAAGAAGACTCAAAGACAAATGGCTCATTAAGAAGCAGTGCTGCATTGCAGGATTTTTCATCCCACCAACCGCTGCATCAGCAGAGGCAGCACCTCTCGCGCTCGCTCTCCCAGCCCTGGAGAAGGAGCTGTCAGGCAGCTGGGGCTGGTGCCAAAATTAATCATGTGCTTAATAACGTGCCCGGCCCGTCGAACATCCCGTCCTCAGCCTCCCGGCTGTGGAGCGGGGCGGCCGCGCTGCACTGGAGCCCTGGGGCGCCGCGGATTTGGGGTTGGTGCCTGGGAAGCGCCCATGCTCAGGGAGAAGGGATGTATCAGGGCAGGGCTGAGCCAGGAGAGATGTCCCCAGCCTCAGGGTGCCACAGCCCCCCGCTTATGTCGGGGTGTCACGGCCTTCCAGGTTTTTTTGGGTGCTAGAGTCCCCCAGCCCTGTTGGGGTCCCAGCCAGCTGTGCTGGCTTCTGCGGCCTTCTCAGTGGCCTCAGTAAACACTTCCTGCTCCACTCATATTTGCAAATCCTCAGCTTGTGTTCATCTTTCATGACTTTTAAAAAATCTTGCCTCATCCCTTTTTTCCAGCGGTGCCCGGTTGGATCCTGCCCCTCACAGCCCTCTGCAGGCAGTGCCTGCCTGCAGCTGCTCTGCTTTCTTTTATTAACAGTAATTGGTTTTGATTTCCTGATTGCAGCCAGTGTATTTTCTGTGATCTTTACATCCTGCTCACACTGTTTTCCTCTTTCCCTTATCCTCGTTCCCTTTTCCTTTTCCTTTTCCCCCTTCCCCTTTTCTCTTTCCTTTTCATCTCTTTTTTCCCCCTTTCCTTTCCTATTCCTTTCCCTTTCTTCACCTTTACACTTTCCCTTTCCCCTTTCTCTGCTAAATTAGGTGATCTCTTACTAAACCACTCTTTTTTTCCTCCAGACTGAGTAAATTTTACTAATTCAGCCTCATAAAATAACAGAGCAATTAGTAATAAAATAAAATGTTTGCTTTCCACAATCCTTCTCGCTCACAATGAGTGGAGAAAGAGTAAATAGATTAAAAGCACGGTGGAAACGACCTGGCTGAATTCCATATTTATTTTCTTCCGACGACCGTAGATCAAATTTGTTCAGCCCCTAAGTGGGAAAACCACTTTATTTTATTTCTTTCCCCCGGCTCCAGCTCGCGCGCGGTGCCGGGCGCTCACGCTGCGTGTTTGTTCTCTCCCGCTTTCATCCCAAGCCATAAAGGTCCCCAGCAGGACCCAAGCTGGCAGAACCTCGCGTTAATTTGCAGAGCAGAACGGGGCCGAGCTCGCACCTCTCCCGGGTTGGAAGCTGGGAAAAAAAAGTGCCTTTGGTGGTGTGGAAAGGCGGGGTGGCGGGAGGAGGCTTTGTGGAGCGAGCGGAGCAAATGAAAGTCGATGGCGAGGTGGCCGCTGGGCTGCTCTGGCACCCGCTGCCTGGGAATTGCATAACAGGATGGGACTGGGGATGGTTTTGGGGCTGAACTGGGTGAAACACGTGGCCGTGGCCGTGCGGAGCTGTCCCCGTGTCTGTGCTGGTGTGGGGCGGCCTCAGGGGAAGATGGAAGGCCGGGCTGATAAAAAATACACAGGGAGGTGGCTCAGGCTGGTTTTTGGGGGAAAACCCTGGTTCTGACTTTATCCCCATCCTGTTGCTCCCCCAGAGCCTGCTGCCCCAGGGATTCCCAGCGTGGAGAAGCTGCTGCTGGCGAGGCCATGAGGACAGCATCCCCCTGAGCGCCGGGCGGTGAGTGCCACCAGCAGGCTCCACTGGGACCACCCCAGCGTGGGCTGCCCATGGTGGGGCTGCTGGGGAAGGGCAGGGGGCCAGGAACCCCTGAGTGCAGGGCCATCAACCCCAGCTCTTGAGGTTAGACCTGGAAGTTTTGGAAAACCCAGTCTTGCCCTGGGTCAGGGCACTTTGCCAGACCCAGACACTGTGATGGGATTTTGATGTCCTCTCACCTCCCCGCTGGTGTTCCTGGAGCTGGAGGAAAGATGGGAGGATCCTGGGTACTGTGGGGTCCCAGGGAAGCTGAGGCTCCTGCTGGGTCTGCCCTGAATCCCTGTAGCCCTGGGCCTCAGCACGGCACTGCCTCCAAGGCAGGGATCTCATGGGGCAGCTGCTGGGAAGTGGAACTGCCTCTGCCAAGTGCTCACATGGGAAATTAAGCAGGAGGCTGAATTTCAAGATGGGCCTGGAGCACCAGAGACTATGAGCCCCTCTCCTCCCTGTGCTGACCCTCGCAATGGGGAGAGACATCAGAGGGAGGTGGTGGTGAGGAGCCACTGGTGGGAGTTTCTCCTGGCACTGGATGCAATAAAGGCGAGGAGTGAGTTATTTGTAATGGTAATTATGCTCTTCCAGTTTATCCTAGCACATAATTGTGTGGGCGGTAGGTTCCCACTGGTGGTAATTACCCTGGTGTTAAATGGCACAAAATTCAGCTGGGCTGGGTTTTTCCCCCTTGACTTAAATCTGCGCTTTGGTGGCACAAATCCCTCCATCCCAAGGGCTGCTCCGTGGATTGGCTTTTTGAGGGACACAGCTCCAGCTCTCGGCCATCTGCCCATGAGCCACGCTCTGGCCAGCTGCCCCAGCCCCCCGTGCCAGCCTGCCCACACTGCCCTCCTGGGATGGGGGAGAGGAGTGGGCTCAGGGGCCTCTCTCTTCCTCCGCACTGCGGGTGCGTGGCGATGGAGACCTTGTGCTGAGCCCCACAGGGTCACTCCCGACCCCTTCTCCATCCCGAGGTTGCCCTCAGGGAGCCTGGCTGCTCCCTGGGCAGGCTGTAGACGCCTGTGCCACCTTGAGCTGGGACATGGATCCTCCACCAGGGCTTGTCCCACCCGCTGCCAGCGCTCCACAGGTGCGGGGGAGCTGCGGCGCTGCCTCGCCTGCGGTTCCGGCTTTGTTGAATTCCTGCACCTGCCGAGCACAAAAGCCCGGCGGGCTCGTGCTGACAGGCTCCGCAGATATTTTGACTCCTTCTCGCCGCCGCGGCAGCAATATTTGGATCAGCTGAGAGCTTCCCTCCCCGAGCAGGAGATGATAGCTCAGCCCGCGGAGGCAGAGCTGGGCTGGGAGCCTGTTTGTCTGTCTGTCCTTCCATCCTGCTGCTCGATCCCAGGCCAGGGAGGCAGCTCCATCCCACGCTGCTGCTCCCGCTCCTCGCAGCAGCTGTCTCAGGAGGGGAGAGGCATCGTCTGTACCAGCTGCATCTTCTGCTCAGCAATTAGGGAGCCTTGTTAGAGCAGGAGCGGGATCTGAGGATGGGGAGCGGCGCAGGACGGAGCCATCCAGCCTCGAGGAAGCTGGGAAGGAAGGTGGTGGTGGCTTAGGGCAGATGTGTTCTCAGGGCCCTGTCTGCTGCCCAGGGCCAAAACGCCATCGCTGCCCACTCCCACATCCCCTGGGGACCCCCAACCCCTCTTCCCTCCAGGACTTCTCGGGGGCACAACCCCCCCCCACCAGCCCTGGCCCTCCCAGTGTCCCTCGTTTCCAGTCTCCATGGTCAAATCCCCACGTGCCACAGGGAACATCCCACGGTCACCTTTCCCTGCAGCCAGTCTGGGAGACGTGCTGCCTGCAGCACCCTGCCCAAATATGACAACAAGAGCGTTAGCGATGCCTGTTAATTAGCCAAGATACTCTGGAGAATAAGTAATTTCCTTATTTACAGTCCAACCAAAGACAGAGCCTTTGAGGGGCTGTAAGGCACACAAACCTCCATGGGTGCAGGCGGCTCAGCCTTGGCTGGTGCAGGCTCAGCCTGGCTCAACACCATCCATCCTCCTGCCTCTCCCTGGGGCTGCCCCTCACACAGCAGAGCCACCTCTGCTCCTGGCTCCCCATCCAGAGGGCTTGCAGGGCAGGAGAGCCCTGGCTCGTGGGTCTCCATGCGCAGCTCCATGTGGGGCTGGATGGAGACATCAGAGCACGGCCCCCCCGCGCCCCACGGCAGCTCATTAGCGGCGCTGTGAATCGCAACGGCTGAAAAACTCAGCCAGAGCCACTTTCCAATGGAGAAACACTTCATAATATTTGGTGCTGGAGAAGAAAACAAGGATCTGCTGATGGCAGAACGTCCTCCCTTGCCATCTGCAGGCCCTGCTGCCTGCATCGTTGCTGGCAGCACCTTCTCCTTCCCACTGCCCCCTCCGAGCACCTGAACTGGGGGTAACCCCAGGTGCCCGGCCCGGGCACTGTGCTCCTGTCACCAGGTGGAATACCAGGATTCTGGCACTTCACAGGGCTGAATCTTTCCCTGGAAGCTTCCCACCCTTCTCAGCTGGTTCCTGAGGTAGCCTCCAATGTTCTTCTGGTTGTGGGGGTGCAGAGGGGATCTTGACGCTGTTCTTGTCCCTGTCCCCACAGATGAGCCCGCAGGGGCATCCCGGCAAGATGCCAAGGCTATGGGGTGGGTGCTGAAATGATGAAAGGCTACCATGGGGAGCGTAGCCAGACACAGCCCTCCTCCGGCCACCGCTGCCGCTGCATCCCAGAGGACTGCGAGCATCCCGCCGACTACATCCCGCACGGCCCCGAGGGCCGGCCGCCGTACCTGCTCAGCCCCAGCGAGCCGTGTTCCCTGGAGCATCCCTACTGCCCGGCGCGGAGCCCCGGCGCGGCCAGCGAGTGCCCGGGCGGGCCCCTGAGCGAGCCGCCCTCCGCCAGCGCCAGCAGCACCTTCCCGAGGATGCATCACGCGCAGCAGCCCTACGACTCCTGCGACGAATGCATGGCGACCGCCCACCCTGCCAGCAAGATCAACCGCCTGCCCCCCACGCTGCTGGACCAGTTCGAGAAGCAGCTGCCGCTGCACCACGACGGCTTCCACACGCTGCAGTACCCCCGGGCCGGCGGCGCCGAGCCCCGCAGCGAGAGCCCCAGCCGCATCCGCCACCTCGTCCACTCCGTCCAGAAGCTCTTCGCCAAGTCCCACTCCCTGGAGGCGCCGGCCAAGCGGGACTACAACGGCGCCAAAATGGACGGCCGCGGGGACGGCTACCACCACCACCACCACCACCACCATCACCACCACCACCACCAGTCCCGCCACGGCAAGCGCAGCAAGAGCAAGGACCGTAAGGTGGACTCCCGGCACCGGTCCAAGATGTTGGGCTGGTGGAGCTCCGACGACAACCTGGACAGCGACAGCAGCTACATGGTGTCCGGCCGGCACGCCGCCGACCAGGGCACCCAGTACTGCGTGGACGCTCCCGAAAGTGCCTTCAGAGACTTGACCTTGAAGAGTCTAAAGGGCGGTGGGGAAGGAAAATGCCTGGCCTGTGCCGGCATGTCCATGTCTCTGGATGGCCAGACGCTCAAGAGGAGTGCCTGGCACACCATGACCGTCAGCCAGGCTCGTGAAGCCTATCCCAGCGCCGGCGGCACCGAGAAGACCTTGATGCTTCAGGAAGCAAAGGCCAAAGACCGAGCGTACCAGTACCTGCAGGTGAGGGGCCGGGCAGGGTGAAGGTACTAGGGCTGACTGTGCTGTGGGGCGAGCCAGGACCCTCCATCCAGCAGCCTGGGGTGCTGTGGGGATGCTCCAGCTCTGCTCCGTGTTCCCAGTGCCTGTGCCCCTTTCCCACGGTCCTGTGCCAGTCCCCGATGTCTCCTCGAAGCCCATCTGCTGCCTCCTGCCCTGTGCTGCATTTGGGGTCAGACCAGCTCTGTCAGCTCAGGGCCACCAGTAACCCTGTGCCTGCTCCCTTCTCACTGCTTTTATCCTGCCTGCGAGCCTGGCTGGGTGCCACTGCCTGCCTCATCACCAGGCTCCCTTCTAGGTCACCCCCCTTCCAATTAAAAGCTAATTAACTCTTCTCTCCATTTCCTGGGGGAAGGAGACAGGGAGCAGCAATGCTGTGCTGGCTGGGGTGGGGGTGGCCGGGGCCTGTCTGTGCTGGCAGTGGGGGCATCAGGGCAGGGTGCCGGCCCCACCGCCCCAGCCGTGAGCCCCAGGGGACACCGTCCCCCTGCCACTGCCCTACAAGGGCCCCGTGGTGCTGGCGTCAGCAGCACGTGGTGGAACTGGTGCCGATACGTCAGGCGGGCGCCACGCTGGCATGGGTGGGATTTGGCCCAGACGCTCCTGCCAGGGGGGCCGTGAGGTGGGAGCTGCTGCGCCACCTCACATTTGGGAATGGGGAGCTGTAGCTGTTAGGAGAGATCTGCTCTCCTGCATTTTGGGGCTTTCCAAAAGGGTCAGAGCCCCCAGGGTCTGTCCCTGCAGCTCTGGTGTGCATGGGGAGGGCAGGGCACACATGCTGGATTTGGGCTGGATTTGAGCTGGATTTGGGCTGGATTTGGGCTGGCACATGGCTCTGCTCTTCATCCCACCTGTGGGACCCCAGCCACCACGTCCTCCCACGCTTGCCTCCTGCTCCAGGTGCCACAGGACGAGTGGAGCGGGTACCCAGCGGGCAAGGACGGGGAGATCCCGTGCCGGCGGATGCGCAGCGGCAGCTACATCAAGGCCATGGGCGACGAGGACAGCGCCGACTCGGACATCAGCTCCAAAGTGCTGCCCAGGGCGGCCACACGGCGAGACAGCTACCGCCGCTCCTCCAGCGCCGACCAGGCCAGGACCAAGTAAGGGCTGCTGCCTCCCCACCCCGTCCCAGCTCTGCAGGCAGCAGCAGGGCCATGGGCCAGGGCTCCCTGGGAGGACAAGTGGCATGTCCCTGCTCACAGCACTGTCCCCACTCACAGCACTGTCCCCGCTCACAGCACTGTCCCTGCTCACAGCACTGTCCCCACTCACAGCACTGTCCCTGCTCATAGCAATGTCCCTGCTCACAGCACTGTCCCCACTCACAGCACTGTCCCCTGCTCACAGCACTGTCCCCACTCACAGCACTGTCCCTGCTCACAGCACTGTCCCTGCTCACAGCACTGTCCCTACTCACAGCACTGTCCCCGCTCACAGCACTGTCCCTGCTCACAGCACTGTCCCCACTCACAGCACTGTCCCTGCTCATAGCACTGTCCCTACTCATAGCGCTGTCCCCTGCTCACAGCATTGTCCCCGCTCACAGCCACAGTCCCTGCTCACAGCACTGTCCCTGCTCACAGCAATGTCCCTACTCACAGCAATGTCCCCACTCACAGCACTGTCCCCACTCACAGCACTGTCCCCGCTCACATCCACAGTCCCCAGCCAGCAGCACCGAGCGCTGTCCCTGCTCTGTGTCAGGGCACTGGGGGGACATGGCTATGCTGGGCTTTTGGGGGGGACCTGCTGCTGCAGCCACATGCAGACCATGGGGAGAAGAGTTGTGTTCAAAGGGGGATGACTGAGACGTGCTCCAGTCCCAGTAGGTGACAGTTTTGGGGGCAGTCAGGAGTGGGACAGCAGCAGTGGCCAGCGGGGGTATCGCTGCGGCTGCGTTTCCGAATGCTCTGCTGGAATGTGTTGCTTTTGGTGCCATCCCTTCTATTCCCACTGTCTCTCATTAGGTTTGCAAGTAGGCACTATTCTGATTCATATATCTGTAACTGTCCCAGCTGCTGCACGCCACCGCGAATGCTCCCGCGGGGACAGAGCTACGGGCGCTCCTTCACCACCGGCCAGGTACGTTCTGTGGCACAGCTCCCACAGGGCAGGCTGGGGCAGGGATGGGATGGATGTCGCTCTGAGCATCCCCTGCCCTGCCTCAGCCTCACCTACCACTCTCCCTAGATCAACGACGAGCTCAACCACCAGTTTGAAGCCGTCTGCGAGTCGGTTTTCGGCGAGGTGGAGTCGCAGGCCGTGGAGGCGCTGGACCTGCCCGGCTGCTTCCGCATGCGGAGCCACAGCTACCTGCGGGCCATCCAGGCGGGCTGCTCCCAGGACGACGACTGTCTCTCACTCTTCTCCATGTCGGCCCCCGCTGGGCCGCCCATCACCAGCAGCATCCTGAAGCCCAGCACTTGTGAGTCCTGGGGGGTGGCGAGGGCTTGGCCACGTGAGGGAACCCCACATCTCCCTGTCTGCTCACCTGGGCACCTGCCAAGGGCTGCTGCTGCCTTCCTCATAGCCCTCGACCCCTACAGGGCCCAGGACAGGGTGTGAGCATCCAGCTTGTCACCCAGTCCCAATCAGGGGGCTGATCTGTGTCCCCAGCACCCATTTGCCATCCCCTCCTTCTCTCCCCTTCTGCCCTCATCTCTGCCCCTTGCTGGGTGCTGCAGCAATGTGGCCAGCGTGGCTCTGGGGTGTTTTCCAATCCCAAAAACTGATCAGACAGCCCCGCTGAACTCCAGCCCATATCTAACCCAGCTGAGGGGCAAACCCTGTGGGGCCGTGATCCCTGTGCTGTGGGAGGGGATGGGCAGCATTCCCCGGGGCCCCTGTTCGTGGCGGGAAATGAGCAAGTGTCTGTGTTTTCACGTGCCTTTTCATCCTGCGCCTCTCCCACAACAGCCTTCAGTTACAGAAAAGCTCCACCTCCCATCCCTCCAGGAACCAAAGCCAAACCTCTCATCTCCGTCACGGCGCAGAGCAGCACCGAGTCCACCCACGAGAGCTACCTGCCCAGCGAGGTCGCCCGCAGCCCCGCCTGGTCCAAAGATGCCGCGGCCCGCTGCAACTCGGCCGAGAGCCTGGAGAGCTCCAAGGTGACGGCCGTGGCCCTGGACCTGCCCCCGGTCCAGCCCCGCGCCGCTCCCAAGCCCTCCACGCTCATCATCAAGGCCATCCCAGGCCGGGAGGAGCTGCGGAGCTTGGCTCGGCAGCGGAAGTGGCGTCCCTCCATCGGCGTGCAGGTGGGCTCCGCTCCTCCCTGCGGGCTGCCCGAGCGGTGTGGGCCATGCTGAGCCACCACGCTGCCTTCTGGAGATGCCCTCCAGCTCTCTCCCTCTGCCCCTTGGCAGGTTGAGGCCGTCTCTGACTCGGATACGGAGAGCCGGAGCCAGAGGGAGTTCCACTCCATCGGGGTGCAGGTGGAGGAGGACAAAAGGTACCACATGGCTGGACTGGGCTGAGACCTGCCACACTCTGCACTGAGGCATTGGCTTCCTGGGGGCTTCCTGAGCTCTGCACACCACCACTACCCCACAGCATCTTTTCCCTCTCCCCTCTGGCTGAAACCCCAGAGCTCAGCACCGTGCCCATTCCAGGCTAGCTGCCCCCACGTGGAGCAGGATTTGGCCTTTCCTTTGTCCTCTCTGCTGCCCAGGGAAGGGGCTGCCCTATTCCTGCCCCATGCTGGGTCTGCTCTGCTGGGCTCAGCCCTTAGCTTTGAGCCCACACCAGGTGCAGGTGAACCTTTGGGCATTTCTGTAGCTAACCATGACATTTTGGCTGGGATGGGAACGCCAGGTGTGCCAGAACCTGCACGGCCTGCGGGAGGGGAGCTCTGGCATTGTGCCCGTGCAGCCTGGTGCTCCTCTCCATCCCCGGTCCAGCGCTGGTAGCCATGGAAACAGGCTGAGAGCAGAGGAGATGAGGGACTGGCAGATCGCAGCTGCTCAGGGTTGCGCCTGTAGCCCGGAATGCTCCGGGATCCACCCCGGCATCCCCAGCTCCATCCTACCCGTGGGTGCCCCTCACCCTGCCCCTGTTGCTGCGGTACCTGGCGGAGGGGACAGGACAACCCCAGCTGGCCACGAGTGTCCCCACGTTCTCCTTGTCCCCGCAGGCGAGCGCGCTTCAAGCGCTCCAACAGCGTGACCGCGGGCGTGCAGGCGGACCTGGAGCTCGAGGGCTTCACCGGCCTGGCCGTGGCCACCGAGGACAAAGCCCTGCAGTTCGGGCGGCCCTTCCAGCGGCACTCCTCGGAGCCCGAGTCGGGCCGGCAGTACGCCGTGTACAAGACGGTGCACACGCAGGGGCAGTGGGCGTACCGCGAGGATTACCAGCTGCAGTACGACACGGTGGAGGTGCCCCGGCGGGACGCCTGGATAGAGCGGGGCTCCCGCAGCCTCCCTGACTCCGGCCGCGCCTCCCCGTGCCACCGCGACGGCGAGTGGTTCATCAAACTGCTGCAGGCAGAGGTGGAGAAGATGGAGGGCTGGTGCCAGCAGATGGAGAGGGAGGCGGAGGACTATGACCTGCCCGAGGAGAGTGAGTCGGGTGGGGTGCCACAGCAGAGAGAGGGGCTGGGGATCCTGCAGAGCTGGGCAGGGCACAGTCATTGTCCTGCAGCGCTCCCACCTTGGAGCATCTTCCCTGCCAAGGCTACAGAGGTTGGGTGAGGGCAGGGAACACCGGGAAAACCTCTGGGGCTAGAGAGATGGGAAGGAGAGGAGAGACACCATGTGTTGGAGGGCTCTGAGCTGCCTGTGACCGTTTGCTCTCCTCCCCAGTCCTGGAGAAGATCCGGAGCGCGGTGGGCAGTGCCCAGCTCCTCATGTCCCAGAAGGTGCAGCAGTTCTACCGCCTCTGCCAGCAGAACATGGTGAGTGTGGGCAGCGCTGCCAGGGGGCAGCTGTGGTGGGGAGGGGGTGTCTCATACTCTCAGCCAGTGACTATGGAGCACCATGGAGGACAGCTGGACATAGAGCCCCCAGCACAGGGGCCAACATCCCACTGATGGATGAGGATGGCACTCTGTCCTTCTGTCCCCACAGGATCCCAACGCATTCCCCGTGCCCACCTTCCAAGACCTGGCTGGCTTCTGGGACCTCCTGCAGCTCTCCATTGAGGATGTCAGCATGAAGTTTGGGGAGCTCCAGCAGCTCAAGGCCAATGGGTGGAAGATTATGGAGCCCAAGGTAAGGGCAGGGCTCCACTACTGGCACTTGTACCTGTCACCTCTCCCTCCCTCCTCATCCCCAAGCATGTCTGCACCCAAACCACTGCTGGGCTCTCACTGGTGACTGCTTTTAGCAAACCCTTGAAAAACAGAGCTGGGAAAAGGTGAGGCTAGAGAAGGGCTGTTCTCCCACTGATATATCCCAGCAAAGGGCCAGGCAGGGGCTTGGAACGTGATGGATAAAGGGATGTGCAGCCCTGCCTTGCAACCTGTGGGAGGGTCCGTGGAGCCTCTCACCATGGCTTGAGCCCGCTGGGATGCCCATTCCAGGGAGCTCCCAGCCTGAAGCCCCCGTTGTCTGTGCAGGAGGAGAAGAAGGTGCCTCCCCCGATACCAAAGAAGCCGCCGCGCTCCAAGGTGCACCCGGTGAAGGAGCGCTCCCTGGACTCGGTGGACCGGCAGCGGCAGGAGGCCCGCAAGCGGCTCCTGGCAGCCAAGCGAGCCGCCTCCTTCCGCCAGAGCTCGGCCACCGAGAGCGCGGACAGCATCGAGATCTACATCCCCGAGGCGCAGACCCGGCTGTGACCGCAGCCTCCGCTTTTCTACCCGGACTGGACGGCGCGGCCGTAGCTCACTGTGATGGGGGGCCGCGGGGACACCCTGGGGCAGCTCTTGGCCCCACTCACAGCTTCTCTCTTTTCTATCTTAGCCCTTTCGTGGATCCGACGGCGGGTTGAACGCAAAGCCCGGTTCTGCCCCGTCCCCGTGCCCCCCCACCCCCGCCCGCATGCCCCTGCCAGCCTCTCCTGGGGTCCGGGGCTCACCCTCCCTCCCTCTGCCCTCCCTGGGGCTGTGTCCCAGCTTTCTGTCCCCTTCCCACTCCCCCAGCCCTTCTGCACACCCGGCCCTGCATCCCAACCCGGAGAGAGGTGACCTTCAGCAGCCGGCCCCGCCGGGCTGGAGGGGAGGGGGCTGCAGGCAGGCCCCCCCGCCTCTCTGTACTCAGTGCAATCCCCTGGCGTGTGGCGGGGACGGGCCCCCAGCCCCTGCCCAGCCACAGCCCCCCAGCCCAGCCCTGCCGAGGCTTTGGGACGTGCTGGGGACAAAGGGGTCCCCTCGCTGCTCCCCCCGCCTGCGGCTCAGGTGCCGTGGGGACCCAGGGCTCCCTCCCCTATATACATATATAAATATAACCCAAGGAATAAACCAGAAACTACACGTGACCAGCGCTGTGTCCTGCCTGGTGGGACGGGCCAGAGCAGCAGAAGCCCCCGGTCACGGCGAGCCGCCCCGCTTCCCTCGCACGGAGCATCGCCACGCGCTTCTCCCCTTCCCGCTCAGCCCCTCCTTCCCCTCAGTCCACCCCTCATCTGTCCGACATTCCCTCCTGCCAGCCTGCAGTCCAGGAGCACCTCTGCAATGTGGCACTAGCCAGGGACAGGCAATAGTCCCCCCTGTGCCTTGCTGCAGGTGGGAGATGCTCCCCCAGCGAGCCCACCTGCAGTGACAAGGATCACACTGGGCTTGGCACCCGTGGGTGGGACAGGAGTGTGGACACGCCAGCAGCTGTCCCGTGAGTGTGGAGCTAGAGACCCCCTCAGGGGGACACCCTTCCCCCGGAGCTCTCGGAGCCCAGCAGGATGGGACACCCCAGGACAGGGCTGTCACCTACCTGGTGCCTCTCAGGGCCAAGGGACACCCTGGGATGCGGCTGTTCCCAGCTCCCCCATCACTGTGCACAGAGCCAGGAACAGGGTGGAGGGCTCCCTCCAGGGCAGAGCAGTGTGGTGGGGCAGGAGGCTGCATCTGCCTCATCCCTGTCTTAACCCCGTTCTCCAAACCTCCCGTCCCCCTCCGTGTCCCTTTTGGTGGCAGAGGGGGGAGAACCCCACCCACGTCCCTCACTCTGCCGCGCCAGCAGCCCCACGCAGCATCACCAGCCACCCCCCAGGGCAGGGCCAGTGGGTGCCAGGTAGCTCCCAAAATGAGGGGCCAAACCTCGCCCAGGCTCTCAGGCAGGGCGGTGGGATCAGAGGCTGCCGGGGGACGCCTCGCTGGGGTCCCTCGCTCCTGGGGGTCCGTCGGTGCTAAACACCTCCGTGACGGCAGCACCCACTCAGCCACCCAAAGCCCTTCCCCGCCCCGCTCCCCCTGCACCCCGGATTTAGGGATGTGCCTGGGAAGGGCCCCCGGCCCCCGCCCCGGCCAGCGCCGTGCAGTGACCGTGACACGTGGCTCCCTTTTTATTGTAACGAACCGCCGCAATTAATAAAGATGACTTTGGTTACTCCGGGCCAGCGGCCACTTCCCTGCGGGGACATGGCCGGCACCGGGCTCGCCTTTCACCTGTCTCCCATCCTTTCGTGCCCGTGGGGTGGGAAATGCAGGTGTGTGGTGCGGGAACTTGGTGACCGGGGGGCGGGAGAGGGGCTTTTGCAGATCTCCTCGTGGATCCCCCCACGGAAACCTCCCACGGGTCTCCCCATGGGTCTCTTCCAGCAGGGTCTCTGCCTCTGAGTCGCTCCCCATGGATCTCCTCCTGTGGGTGTCTCTCTCCCCGTGTGACTCCCCACGTGAGTCTCCCCTGTGACACCCGCGTGGGTGTCTCTCTGTGCCACTCCTCGTGACTCCCGCATGACATCTCCCGGTGGCTCTCTCCGCCAAGACACCCTCTGTGACTCTTGCGTGCCTCTGAATCCTCCCTGGGTCTCCCGTGGGACTCCTCCTGTGACTCTCCCTGGGTGTCTCC